GGCATTTTTTAACTATATAACTGGGGGGGGGGGCAAAGCCCCACCAGCCCCCATGGTGGCCCCCCCCACTCAACCATTTTGCCCCCCCCCAGTCAAAGTCCCTTTTCTCTAAAATATAAGCAAAACATGGAATTTAGAAGGGAGGTTTGATATTCTAGTAACTGAAATTTGTTTTGTGAATCTTATGTCCTGTCTTTTATCTTTAATGCTAAAACATTGTGTTGTAAATACCTTATTAGATTTTAAACATTTTCCAGTGGATTGCATTTCATAGACCCTATAGATTTGAGTTGTTGGAAGGCTCGGCTAAACAAGTTAGTGACCGCAGGGGGCAACGGGTTCCCAACCCAGTTTGTCCCCCCCCCCCCGCCTCACACCAAAAAACCCCAATTGATTTCGAAACTAGAAGTGTTTGAAATCGTATATATATAATCAAATATCTGTAATCGATTTTGACGAAATGTCATTCCGGAGATCAGGGAACTAACCGTCCCATGGGAAAACCCATGTGATATTCCATTATAAAGACAATTGTAGTTGCATGCAATTTTGATATGAGACTTTTGTATTGGAACCAGGGTAAAAAAAGAGCGGGGAAACTGAATTTAACCGCCTTATGGCTCAATGAGAGGTTTGGGACAGGTCGTAAAGTATGTGTACTGGGGGGGTGGAGGGTAAGTTGGAGGGGAGGGGACGAAACAAATGATCTAACATTTTGGGGGTATGAGACGAATTACGACATTTGTGGGGAGAGGGGGGGGGGTCGAAACAAGAAATGAGTCGAATACTATGTCTATGATTAATAAAACTACAGACTTTTATAATACAATATATACTTTAAAAAATCGAGTGTATGTTCCTAAATGTTCCTAATAAATTGCAATGTAGCACATTAGTATTTATGAAAGTGTTTCGATCGGAACCTATTAGTTTGACATATCTCTGCAACCTGAACAGTCTTTGACTTTGATTACGTTATTTACCATCGGGTGGCTCCTCTGCTCGTTTACTTTTAGAATGATTTAAATATTGAGAAAGATATGAAATACGTCACGACGTTCTGTTGATATAGTCACAAATAGTGCGCATGGCCGGTACCTCTTTTTGACTCTATTAAGGTACGGAAAAGATAGTCAGGAAAGTCCTATTAATGGAATACTGGCAAGCACATACAAAAGTACGGATCGGATTGGATGCATGTGATGTATGAAATTAAAAAGAACACTAATAAATTTATGGAAATACTCAAAACTACTACTCTCCGCCTTCTCAAAATTCATATTTAATATTTTGGATTAAATAAACAATAACAATTTGTAACAGACTATATTAACCGTTAAAACGCATGGAATTTAGTTTTAAATATTCTTCAAAAACTCATTAACAATTCATGAAGCAATTATCCAATCTTGAGTAAGAAATTAGTCACGTGCATACGTCTTTATACCAGCTAAAGAACACTTTAACAAAAGACCATTGTTATGCAAACTATATAAAGATTTTTATATAAAGATTTTTATATAAAGATTTTTATATAAAGATTTTTATATAAAGATTTTTATATAAAGATTTGACTTATTACGCATACGTTTTTGAAGTCATTTAAAAAACTCGCGGGTCGTGTTTTATTAGGTCTAAAGCCACTCGCGCTGCGCGCTCGTGGCTTTAAACCTATAATAAAACACTCCTGCTCGTTTTTTAAATAGTACATCAAGAACTGCTGTGTGACTCTACAGTACATGGACCATGGCGAACCAGAAGGTTGACTGTTGACGAAGGACGATATAGATGTTTGCTTTTTATTTTTATTTTTCTTCCTTGATTTTTTCTTTTTACGTGTTGTTATAATAAGTGGCTTTTTTCTTTTTTTCTTGGAGGCTTTTATGCATTAACTCAATCCAGGGCGCTATAAAACATGTAGCATAGCGTGTTTTATAGCACCAGTGTTTTAAAACACGTGTTTTATAGCGCCCTGCTCATTCTCATGTATTGCCTCGTCTTCAAAATAATTATTTTCCAACAAAAACGTGAGAGAAGTAAGATGAAAGCGAGACAATAATTGTTTCTTCATGTCCATATCACTGAGTTTAATACCCTCCACCCACTCACCCCAGTACCACATACTTTATGACCGGCCCTTATAGTTTTCTGCTATTGTAAGTCAGTCACTGATTTTACCTTTTTCTCCGAAAAACTAGTTCTAAAGATATAGCAATTGAACGCAGAATTGTGTTTAAAAGTCATCAAATAGATGAACCACCTCCTCTGAATTTTCAATTTCATAGTGGGACTGGGATTTCATCTAAAAACTAATTAAGAGCTGGGAACCATGTTAAACAGCAAAACGAAGCGTACCACGTTTCTTTTCGCACTTTGCCTTTCTGGTATCGGTTGCTTTGCGATCGATATTGATTCATCTTTTTATACTGTTCGTCGATGAACCCCGAGATCGTGGGATCAATTATAAGCCCAATAGGATATCGGAGATGATGAACAATTCTCTCCTGCTTCACATTCTCGGACAAAGTGTTGACGCTCGGTTTAGCATTGTCGTTATCATCTCTTCACTACCTTCGTTCCACATGTACATCACTTTGGTAAGGGACTGGTCAGTTTATTGTGGGGGTTAGCCAGTGCATGGGAGTGGCACTGAAGGCATTTTTTTTTCTTGGTTGAACATTTACTGATCATCAACCAACCATTAAAAAGTCAAATATTTTTAGCCAACCTCAAATATCAATTAAAATATAAATACCATGCGTGCACCACTGGCCAAAATCTTTACAAAAAGAAACCATTCAGTTGTCACACATATCCTTTACCACATCTGTGATGATGAGTTTGATAACTGATTGTGCAATTTTCCGCAGTGTAAATTTTCATGTTGTCTGCACATGTACTTTCTTAATTTGGACAGTACACATGTACACCTTAACTTGTCTCCTGATAAATCGGGAAATGATCAAGATAGCTAGTGATTCTGTTTGACTTACATATTGTATTGACATATGAATGCATATGTTGACAGTATAGTCTTCAATATTTGAGCGAATCGTGCTTTGGAAATGAAAATAATATTTTTTATTACCCAACCTTTGAATTGGTTTGTTTTTCATTTATCAGTACCAAACCTTTCACTCACTCTTTTCTCTTCGGCGCCGCCTTTCGCCATAATTGACCAGCATTGGTTGGCTTGACGTATACTTTCGTTTCGAGATGACCATCTTTCTTCTCGCTTCCATGCTGAGAAAAGGCAACTTTCCATTGACTTTGCATCCATTGTGCAGAGGCTGCGGAAGTGATTTGGAAAGTGGTGGGGCATTGGCCAATCAGACAATTTTATGTCGTTCATGAGCAGAGCAAATATTTTTGAAAATATGGAGTCTCTATAACGCCGGGAATGGCCTTTAAAGAGTCAGTTTACTACTGCAAAAATGGCACGTACTTTCTTTCATTTGCAGCAAAAAACGATGTTTATTGATTTATTCAAGAAATACTTTTTTCGTTCCTTAAATGGGCACTTTAGCCTAGAAAAAGGGCACTTTATTCACCTTTAAAAAAGTGATGGGGCATATGCCCCCATTGCTCCCCCCGTTCCGCAGCCCCTGCCATTGTGAACTCTGAGGATGGATGACAGTTGTTGAGGGTATTCAGAAAATTCTCTGCCGATCGATAATAAATTGCGTTGGGTCATGTCGTTGTCGATTACTAACTGGTACTTTAGTTAACTAGTACTAGTGTCAACACATGAAGGTGTTTAAATGCCATTAATTAAGAACGAAGTGGCGATCCCGTCGCTACACCGGTCTGTACCGTATTTACACGATTGAGCGCCACCCTGGATTGAGCGCCGCCCCCGAATAAGCGCCGCATTTGAGAACAAATTTTTTTAAAGAGCGCCGCCCCCGAATTAATAGCGCCGCACTAAACAGTGTAAAAACTTTACGCCGTCAAAATGGAGACATTTAGTGACGAAGACATTTAATACTTGTTTATTTCATTGTTAAAAGTTCTTGTTATAATTCACAAATAATTTTTTTTTTAAAGAGCGCCGGCCCCGATTGAGCGGCGCCCCCGAATGAGCGCCGCATCTGAAGATCTGAAAATTTAAAGAGCGTGGCGCGGTGGCGGCGCTCAAACGAGTAAATACGGTATGTGTTAATCGTAAAGCTTGCAATATAATTGGAATTAAGATGACGGAACTTGCAATATAATTGGATCGAAAGCTTTGCAATAGTACAGTTACGTGGTGTTTCCACAAACAAAAAGTATTATATGTTTTATCGCCATGCAATCCTACAAAGAACTTATAATCGGAAGAGTACGTTGGCTATTCACGTCCACGTTGAACATACAATTGGTGATCAGATCACATTTCCCCAGCTGTAGATGTTTCATCAACTACTGGGACGTTGGTGAATCATGACGAAACGTCATACAAGAATTTCTCGGCATCTTTGATTTCTCTCTTTCGTAATTCGTCAGAAAATGTAAGGGGAATGTTTGTAATGTTAATTGTCTCTGAGTGCGTCATCGAGCCAGCTAAAAATGTAGTACGCATTGTTTCCGGCCGTTTAAAATGATCAGGCGTCGGCTGATACCGTACGAAGGGCCTCGAAGGCAACGTATACTGGTCTTGGATCGATTCAGACCGACGCACAGAGAAATTAAGGGGGCCCACGGCAAATGTCATGTTTGGGGACCTGGGGCCGGTTGTATAAAACTCTTAGTCACTGTTTTTAATCACTATTTTGTAGTTAAATAGTGAGTAACTCTCAAATAGGCGCTTCTTATTGGATGACGTTTCCACTTAACTATGGTTAACTTTAATCACTTTTTTATACAACCGGCCCCTGCAGGGTGATTTCCTTTCGTCAAAGATTCTTGAAGTTATGCATGTCCTCTCTTAGAGATTGATTTTCATAATTTTGAACTTTTTGGATAGATATATAGTTTTATTCGATACCTTGACTTGCAATATACATACTGAATTGATAAGGTTTACAGTTAAGAAGAAGATAAAGCGGATAAAAATTAAATTAACTATCTACAAAAATTATTAACAATTTACAATAAAACTCATTATAACGACTAGTTGTAATAATTAATATTTAGGGGCGGACCATTAGAAAAGTAATGGCCGGGGGGGGGGACTTTTCCAACTTGTACGAATATTTTTTAATAACTTTCGAAATACTATTTCTAGTTAAACGCTTTTAGGCTTACTTCAAAGCCTGTTCTTTTCTCTTTCAAACAAACTATTATCCTTGTCTCCAATGCTAGTAATAATTGCACAGGAAAAGATTTAGTAAAACCTATCATTTTTAGTTGCTGTTTAATTATGCAAGTTTACTATGTTATTGTTTAGTCGGTTTAAATATTAGAATTTTCTTCTTTAAACTTTAATGTTGTCGTCACTACATCTGGAAAACCACGTAAGAACAAATTAAAAGTATTTTAAAAGAGACCAGGTTGTTTGAAAATCCTAAACGAATGCTAAAAATCGTCAAAACATTCTGGTGTCTGAGCCAGAGTGTCATCGAATTGCGATGTAATGTAAACAGAAATTATAGCAAGTTGATGTCAGTCAGCTTAGATGGTCCAAGCCAAAATTATATCGCATTTGAAGTTTCAAACTGAGTTAAAAATAGTGCAAGAAAAGCCGTAATTATACTTATTGTTACAATCCATTTAATAAAATGCAAAATTTTTTTGTTTTAATGAAAAAATCAGTTATTTTCATGAGAACGATTTGTTATTCCATCTCAATTTTTTTAATCTCCAATCGCAATAACGTAAAGTATTATTACCCGCGAACCAATGAGTCAAATTTAAGAAACAACCCACTGTTAGAAAGCTGAATGGCTACGCTTTAAAATGAATGTAAACTTTAACGTTTTCGTCTATTATTTGTTTAGCAATTTACATTTCAGTCGAGGATTGCGCTTTTTTTGATACACCCTGTATACTCCCTTGCATGATTTTTTTTTATTTCAACTTATAACATTATCCCTATTGAAAAGTTTCTGCACGAATGTTTTTTTTTCAAACTTTCTTGGTGCACGAATTTTTAGTTTTTCTTTCTGTTTCCCCTGCACGATTTTTAATTTTGCTTTTCCCCCTCCCCACCCTCCGTCACTTTTCTAATGGTCCGCCCCTTATAAAAGAATTTTTGAAACGGTCTGTATTAATACATTTAGCTAGGGACAGTAAATTCACCTTGTTGTTTTTTAAGGGTAAGTCCCTATTGATATTATGTGGTAACTATTAAAACAGTTTATCTTCTGTATTGACGGGCCGGAAATCTTTAAGCAGAAAATCATCACAAAGTTTGTCCCGATATACTGACAATCTTTGCAGATTCGATAGATTCAGATTTAGATTAAGGGCAACATCATACGGTGTGTCATAAAGCCATGGATAATCTTCATTGTTCTTTTTTTTCCAAGGATAGGTTTAATTTCTTTTGTGAACTGAAATTATAAATCAAAGACTTCACAAGCATATATCAGCACAGGACGAATACAAGTAGCATAGAATTTCACTAAATCCATGGTTTGAACTTTTGCCCGTTTCAACTCTGATAGAAAGTAAAGACGCTTTGATGCCTTTTTGTAAATTTTTTCGACATGTTGATCCCCTTAAGATTACTTTGAACGGTCAGACCCAGAGTTTGAACGGAGTCCACAACTGCGATACTAGTGATAGGATTGCCATCTATGTGCAAATCACTGAATACGGACGGTGCCTGTTTAATTTAAAGGAAATTCCTATTTCTTTGGTTTTTTTTTGGTTGAATCTGAAATTTGTTATGATTTGTCCAATCAGACATTTCGTCAACAATAACTTGCGCGGTTCTTTGCCCATGTTTTTCTACGATTGCAAAGGATCAGTGTTGTATCGTCAATGAAAATTGCATGCATTATCGTTTGATGATTTTATTTCTTTGACATTAATCATCATTAAGAAAAGTCATGGCCCTAATTTTGTTCCCTGAGGTACGCCAGCCAGAATTCTCATCCCAACATGCATGAGAAGATGTCGTTCTCCAATAAGTCCAATTTAACTCTTTGCTTTCAGTCGCTTATAGCTATAGAAAATCATGAATTCAATTTAAGAAAAAGGGATTGATTCCATAGCTTTTCAATTTACACATCAACAAGTTGTGGTCGATAGTATAAGATCGAATGCTTTTTTATAATCCATGAAAATTACTCTTACTTCTAAACACGTAGCAACAGTTGCTTCGAGCCAATGGTGAACCAGGTATATTAGAGCATGCGTATAGTGGATGAAAAGGGAACGCAACCATACTGGTCACCAGGTCAGATCGAATAAGCTTCAAAACAGCAGGTTTCACATGCTCTTTAGTGTACAACAAACTCTTCAGCGATTTTTGATAGGGTATAGGCATACGAGTTATATATTGGTCTGAGATCTTTATTAAATTCTTCAATGGTCTAATTTTTGGGGAATGGAATGACGTTGACTTTTTTCCAATGTACGTAGTGGGTAAAATTTGTTTATGAAAGGACGAATTGATTAAGTGACATACTGGTTCGGTGGGTAAATAGCTAAAAGTTTTTAGAAACCAGTTTGGAATATCATCTGGACCAGGTGCTCTGAACTCCTTAATTGTTCTTAATTTTTTTCAACACTGATTCAAATAGTTCAGAGGGACCTTATTTGTCCCCCTCCAGTCCCCTCCTTTAACTTGGGGTCCGGAGCAAATTGCCCATAATATTTTGGATTGTTGGCTATACCAGTCGACACTTACATCAGCCCATTGAAGAACATAAGGGGTCGGCAATGAGGTAAGCACTAAGCACGTGTCTGGATATCATGTGGAGGATGTGTCCCGTATTGAAAGCTGCTTTTCACTCCTTCGAAAGAGCCAGGGGAAATACGAGCCGTGCCTCCTGTCTGAAATGCTGTACATAATTCATAAAGGAACTTTGTGAGTCAACCATCTTTGAACACACAATCGGAGTCAATGAGATTTGTTACTACTTGTTATGTCTGTATGTTAAATGTGTTTTCACTGCTATTGAATTTTATTATTTTAGTAATATTCTAATCGCATGTAGAATTTCTCCGTATTATTTTGTAATGAAAAATTTGCATGCTTAAGGCATAAGGCTGTTTACCAGTTAAGCATACCATACGTGCGTGCCAGTGACGTAGTCGGAGGGGGACCTGTTGCCCCGGCCCTCCGCTAGCAAAATATTGGGGACCCCTTAGAAAAATGTTGACCAGCACAAGAGGCTCTAGATGGGGGGAGGGAGGGTCTGAAAATCTGTAAACGGTAAAAGTTTTGGTATTTTGACGGTAACAATAAGTAACATTTTGGTATTTTAACGCTAAATCTTTGAAAAGTGTTCGGAAACGATTCACCTTTAACCGAGCTACTATCGAGCAGGTAGTGTCGAATGACTTGAGATCGGTACTATTTCGGTACTCCTGTCGTACATGACACATCGACCTATGTCGATCGGGTGTCCACACTAAGTTGGGCGTCAATATGGTGAACTGAGGGGAACCTTCGTCCACCAGGTTGAATAAAGAGGAACGTATCAGTCCAGGTTGGAAACATAGCAGACAAAAGTTCCCGCGTCAAACAGTAGTGAGATAGCACTTGTGAATAGGCGTGCGACAGCCCGGTCAAGATAGTTGGACCCGCTACCATGAAGACTAGAGAATCACACGCCCATTGTGCAAACCAGCTTTAGCTGACAATGTTAGCGTCGTTAAATAAAGTTTTATCATCATTCACGCTAAATTTTTAGTGTTTTCACGACTGACGATAACCGAAATCGAGTGAATCACGACTCATGATATACCCCATCAACACCCTCGTACAAGTATGTGCATTATATTTTTATTTCTCCTAATGGAAATTTTATGTCTTCCCGTCTGTTTTAAATGTTCTATCTGGATTATTTTGTGATTAAGTAGAGCTGTCATGTGTTAAGTACTTAAATGGTTATTTAAAATCACCAAAACGCATTAAAATAGTGGTTGTCTGGAAAACGCGTACACGTACACGCGTACATGGAAAACGCGTACATGGAAAACGCGTACATGGAAAACGCGTACATGGAAAACGCGTACATGGAAAACGCGTACATGGAAATCGCGTACATGGAAAACGCGTACATGGAAAACGCGTACAT